TTCCCTACAGCCTCAGTGTATCATTCAAGGTCCTAGAATTGCATAAACATTTAGCAAACAATTATAAATCACATCCAGTCAAGTTCAGCAGTAAATTCCGCTCTAGCAAAAAGAAAGTAACATCTGTCTCATTACCAAGGGTAGGTGTATTTTAAGTTTGACACAGTTTCCAGCTGGAAAATAAAGAATGCTGGAACAGTGATGAGAAAAGATAATCTTTTGAAACCTAAAATACTCCTTTAAACTACATACAGCTAGCCTAACATGTTTCTACCTGCAAGCAGCAAACAAATGAAACAAGAGAGAGAAGGGAAGAGGCTTAAAGTAATGTGCCACCTTATACTGTGTTCTTCAAAACAGTTTTGACATCAAGGTCTAATTTGGACTTCTTAATTTTTGCATCTGATTACACACAAATTCTGTACGAAAAGGCATGCTCTATATAAAGAAACAATTTCTGCCTTTTTTTAGTACAAGAAACTGAACTTCCTTCTTGACTTTACAGATCATACCACTGGAATATGTCAGAGTGGGGAACACAAAAGCAGTGTGCACAGTACCTCTCCCTCTTCTGACACTGTAGAAATCTGCTTTTTCTCCACCTTTCTTCTCTTTGTGAGGGCCCCCATTAGTGGCTTTGCCATCTTCTCCTCCACACTTGACTTCACCTTGCTCTTGAGCTGCTCCCTCTACAGTATTTCCAGGTTGGAGTTGCTCGTAAGTCATGCAAGAGTGCCTTGGAAAATCCATATTTTCTAACAAAAGACTGTGATCTACATCCAAGGAATGGGATGAATGCTTTAAAGATCCTTTAGCTGATGTGATGATCTCCAAGGGCTACAAATTAACATTAGTGAGTAATTAAATTCTGTAAAATGTGACAGTTAACCAATAAAAAGGAAGAAGCATTGTCTCTACTTTCACTTTAAGAAAATAGCTTGCTCAGAATAAAGACTTTTCTTTTAAAGGAGTAATTTTGCTGTAGAATGTGCTTAGTATTATCTAAATGTCCTTTCCACATTCAAAAGGTTAGACACTTATTTGAGGCAAGTATTCTCAAAATAGTGATACCACTTGGAATTCATTTAGATGTTTCCATTATACAGTAGTATTCAGTAATCACTAAGAGGGAATATTAGGGTCTGAAAATGTTCTAGTTTTCCTTATAAAATTAGCTTTGCTTCCTAGACAACAAAGTGGTACACTCACTTGGATTTGTGCGCCACACTGTCAAAAGTAACGTGCTATTAGCAACCTTGAGTAGACAGTGTTTACAGTCATGGTAAAGAGATCACCTTGCTTATTATCAACCTGTTCAAATTGCTTGGCTGCACCCTGTACCTCTCAGTAAAGAAAACAAAGCATAGTATTCTCTCAATGTCTCACTCAAAATTGGTGATACTACAGAAGATACTAAAAATGGATTACATGTGTTGATCAGGTCACAATTGCATGTTCTGCAACAGGACTGACTGCCTTAATGTGGTTCAAGCAACCACCTGTCCAGTGCAAGGACAAGCACTTGCACAAGTCTATGCTGAAGCAGAACAGGGACCCCAGAGAGTTGAAAAGTAACTCCTGAAAAAGCCAAAATAACCAAAAGGAGGGGCAAAGAAATGGAAACTGCTGCCAAAACCCCAAATGTCAAATAGCGGTTTATAAACCTGTATCATCAGAACTGAAGGACAGAGTATTTGCTACATTGTTTCCAATAAAAAGCTGTATTTAATTATTTAAATTAGTAGCTTGATAGTTGGAATTGATCCATCTGTAATATTGCTTGTGTACTTATTTACATGCAACTGAACATTTGTTATTTTGTTCAAAACTACAACTTTTCTCGTGCAGGTTGAGAAATTCTGACAAATTATCCACCCACTTCAATTACAGAATCTCGAACAAGCTTCAACAATACACAAGACAACTGGAAAATCACTGCGGTAACAGAACTTGGGGCACTTCTACCAAAACACTTTTCCCCAAATGCTTTATTACTGGGTAAAATTCTCCTCTGCTAAAAGGCTCAGGAAGCAGCTAGACAAGAGAATGATGAAGTATTAAGAGTGTTCATTGGTCTTTCTGATCCCATGCATCATGCACACATTCCTCCCCAGAATGAGGAAACTAGGTGTCTTGAGTACAATCTACAAAGTCCACACCTAAACTGGATCTCTGAGGGAGATCCAAGCCAGTAGCTCAACTGAAACTACACTTTTAATAATACAATAGTTTAATAATTAATTTAATAATACAATAAGCAGGAGCACAAACTCAGTCAAAACTAAGCCAGCACAGTTAGTGCCCACCTTTTATATGAAAACTCAGAGATGTACATTACAGCTGAAGACAGTACAAGAGAACCCAGAAATCACTGTCATCTCCCACTTTCAGGCAGTGGCCTAGGCTCAGGAAGCAGCTAGACAAGAGAATGATGAAGTATTAAGAGTGTTCATTGGTCTTTCTGATCCCATGCATCATGCACACATTCCTCCCCAGAATGAGGAAACTAGGTGTCTTGAGTACAATCTACAAAGTCCACACCTAAACTGGATCTCTGAGGGAGATCCAAGCCAGTAGCTCAACTGAAACTACACTTTTAATAATACAATAGTTTAATAATTAATTTAATAATACAATAAGCAGGAGCACAAACTCAGTCAAAACTAAGCCAGCACAGTTAGTGCCCACCTTTTATATGAAAACTCAGAGATGTACATTACAGCTGAAGACAGTACAAGAGAACCCAGAAATCACTGTCATCTCCCACTTTCAGGCAGTGGCCAACAGGCCATTTGCTAAGGCTTCCTCTTAATTTATTCTAAGAAACAAATTCAGGATTCATCAGGCCAGAAAAAAGAGCATGCAAAAAGCTCATTGTAACAGACACTCCCTGGTCCCTACATATCTTACGAGACCCCAAATTTATTTGTGAACACAGTGTAAAGTTTCTTTATATTGTTGTTTTTGACACCTTCCTCTCACATATATACCTGAGGGCAAAATTTCAAGGCTTCTAGATCAGTAGTAAACAAGTTGTAAAAGACTGACCATGAAAAGAAAAAAACACATTAGTTCAAACAGGAGAAAGGTATGCATGAGTTACTTCATTCACCTCCACACATCCATGTTCACCTGATAAATAGGAACTTATTTTAAAGTAAGCACACCAGTTTCAAAATACACCAATGAATACTAAGACCCTACCTCTTCTAGTCCAAGTTGCTCCATAGAGTCACAGTAAACTTCACTGTCTGAATCACTGGTTAAGTGTTGAGTTGCTGAAACCTCTTCAGTATTCTCTTCATTTGCACCTGTATGGAAGGAGATATGTACACATGCTTCGCAAATGTAAGCCAATCCTGGCAAAGAGTAAAGCAATGAGTTCAAACTTCTATGTGAGCTTGAAATCCTGTCCCTTTTATCTACTATTGTCATCCTAAAGGTTGATTCGGAATAAAGAAGCTACATTAATTAACTATACCGCACACTGGCTTTTCTGCATTATAAACTGATAATTTTAATTTTACCTTGTTCATTCCACTCTCCTTCCTCAGTTCAGTATAAAACAGTTTTGCCTAAACTTGCCAGTTTTAAAATTATATATTTAGTTGTTTCAACCTGGCATTGATAATACGTTCAGCCTTTGAAAATGACAAATAAGGTGTAAGTGACTTCTATTTTGTTAATGAGGTTTTCAAGGCAAACAGTATTTGCATAGGTAGTATAATGATTTTAAAATATAACCATTTTATTTCCATAGTTTTAGGCCTGTCTCCGAATTTACCTCTCCTCCTGCAGATCTTAAAAGAAAGCCTTATTTTAAACTGGTATTAAACTTGATTTTTTTTTTAGTATTCTTTCTTCAGGTTTCTACGACTGAAATACATCACTACTAGTCTCTGAATCCCAGGATTAAGCTTTCAAGCAAATAAATATTTTCCATGAAAAGCATATGCAAATGAAAACATGGTCTTCGAAGGACAATACCTTGGTGAGAACCATTAATAGCTATTTCTAGGCTTGGCTCTGTTTTCTTTCTTTCTTCCTCTGGATTCAAGCCATTCAGGGCAGATTTGGTCTGGGTGCCATTCTGCAGATCTGGGATAAAGCTGTCCTTGCAACAGCCATTAGTGACAATACTTTCCAAATCCTTAGCAGCTGCTGATTCTGGTTTCACACTCTTATAGTCTGTAAATGAACAAGAAAACCTTGCAAATAGAAAGCCATGCATGCCACAGCTCAAAACATTTCTTCCAGTAGCTACCTTTCTAAGGGGCTGTACGTATAGTGTATCTGCAGAACAAAATACATAAATGCTTCTAGATTCACACTTTCAGGGACTGTTCTATTCTTGTAAAAAATGTAAATATAAAATTTAATTTGCATAAAGATCAGATTTTATTAGTAAGCAAATCTAAAGTTGGTCCTTCTGATAAATAATAATCCTAATGTTCTCGAAGGAAAAAAAAATCTGTATAAAACCCTAAACATGTAATTTCATTTGGTTTTCACTTGATGCTGCTATTTCTCAAAACTCACTATGGATCCCTAAAGAAATCTCATTGAAAGTTCTGTTTTCTTTCCTCTGAAAAAAAAATTAAAATTCAATTATACTATTACAGTCCACGCAGGCATTCACAGCTCTTATAAACAACACAGGGTATATATATACTTTTAGCTTATCTACTGACAGAACTTTCTAGCCAAGTCAAAACCTGTATGGCATAGCTCACCAATCTGTACTAATACTAAATCTTATAACCCAGGTAGAGACATTGCCATTTTTACCACACATATCCCCATGTATTTGCCTCTAATGCTCCTGAAGAAGTGCAGCATTCACTCACAATCCCTTGGGATCTTTGCCACTTAGGTGGTTATTAATAACTTTGGAAGAGGCAATGGTTCAAGTGTAGAAAACATACCCTTTCCATTTAGCTGCAGTTCTTTCTCTTCCTCTTCACGAAGCCCTTCTTCTTCTGATTCTGCTCCGCTATCACTACTTTCAGCTTTTCCATTCACAGCCTTTATATTTGGAGTAGAATTCATGACATTACTAAGGCCTAAGAAAAAATTCACAGAGGAAAACCCAATATATTTTTTAAAAAACCCAAACATACACTAGACCACCCACCACCACACCCCAACTATTAGTGATAGTTCCACAAAGGTATTTCCATATTAGCAGATGTACAAAATAATGCCAGCTTTATTTCTGTAAACCCTTCCTGCACTGGTTTTATGTTTCTCTTCTGTGGCTCAGCACCATGTCTGACTACTGGTGAAAAGATTCTCAGTGATTCAGAGGAAGCCTCCTGGTACTGAGTCTCAGACCAAAACTATTATCCGTATTTATGGTATAGCTGCAGTAACGTTTTATCTAGGACCAATGTGGCCATGTTCTTTTAAACCCAGAATTTAGCATTTTTACAGAAGTTCCCTTTTGGGCTGAAATTTTTCAAAACTGCTCCCAACTCATAGGCAAATTTTAAAACATTCTATTCAATGATGTGAGCAACAGGATTCTCACACAAGAAGGCAAATACAGTATTTCATACATTTTCTCCTGCACTTATCTAAGCAGATACAAAATATGGTAAGAAGATTCAAGTTTATACACATCTTTATCTGGCAAAATTCTGATTTCAGTTAAAAAGATTATCCTGCACGTTCGTTTGCATGTCTAACTCCATAAATTTTTTTTTATATATCTTGAAATAGAGTAACTTCTGATCCTTGTTTTCCACATCTTTGTTCAAATCACAAACAATTTACTCTGAATGCACAAAGAATAGCAAGAAAAAGTTTCTGAAAAAATATTTAAAGGACAATTGTACCACTGCCTGTGAAAAAGATATGGTTAAATATATCCTGATGATCGTTTAAGCTTCCCATGTTAGGACAGAGGGATTAAGATAAAAAGACAGGACAGTTTCTGCAAGACACTTGCACATTTTACATGTTGACTCCAAGGCTGAAGTCTGTCTGTTTTAATTGTCACCACAGCATTACATTTGCATAATTTCTGCATTGCCTTGTCAGAACCTTGAAAGATTCAAGTTTTACATTTAAATGTTTTACATTAAATTAAATAGCAAAATAATACACAATCATAGTGGAGCTGCCAAACCAGCTCCACTACTTTCTTTGCTGCATGGTAATTTTGAGCTAAGGGTTTCCTACTTTAATCTTGCAATCAAAAGCCTTTCCACATTCCTCTAGTTTCAAAGCTTATCCATAGTTCTTTAACAAACAAACAAAAAACCCCAAAACCAAACCAAACCAAACCAACAAACAAATATAAAAGGCAAAATAACCAAATTACTTGTATAGAAATGTCCTGTTCACCTTCATTTTAATACAAAATAAGGTTCCTCTGGACACTATGCATCACTGTTTTGGATTTATTTAATCCAACTTTTATCTGAAGATTAAAAACTCTTGCTTTTTTATTGTAAAAAGTGAATTGGAAAAGCTGTTGTCTGTCTTGTAGACTGCAAGAACGTAAGTGATCACATGTTTATGTTCTCCTCACTGAAGAACATTTCTTACTTGCAGGAAAATTAGTTTTTCAAAATAAAAATCCCAACATATTCCTAGTGTATTTCTCATAAACTCATTTAATTTATTGTGAAACAATATCAATTTCAATTTCTTGACATGTTTTTCTGAGAAGCAGCAGTGTGAGAAGAATAAGGCAGCAGTTAAATCCTCACAGTGTGACCGTTAAGCACAGACACAGCTCCCTTGGCATGGTGAGGTAGGCATCACCCTTTTCTTTGAAGGGGTGGGGTGCAATCATCCACGTGTCCTACCCAGTCGTGGGAGTAAACAGGAAAGACAGGACTAGGAGAAACACACAGCTGTGAAGAGAGGCAAACAAGAACTGTAACCTCCTTACCTACCTAGAAGACCTAAGATTTATTTTTTTTCTTTTCAAGCTTTACTTAATTTCAGTAAGAAGATTATATTCATTTGGGGAAATGTCTTAGTGATGCATCACATATGTTTAAATAACATTAAATTGAGAGGAAGTATTAACAGTAGCCATGAGACACCTGAATAACTGAAATCCATCAGAATCGTATTTCTTCCACAAAGTCAATCTTAGCAACAGTGCTACTAAAAGACCAAAAAGAGGCATAATTTTTATGCCAACGCTGAAGAACACAGCACTGTACAGAGTTTTGGCCACACTTCATTGTGTACTTTTCCTCTGAATCCTTACACTGCTATCCCTCAGCAGGTCCAACCCCAATTGCTTTTTCTAAAACCACAGTTTGCTGCCACCCACCTTGTTACTCTGCATAGCTTTTAAGAAACCAGCAATGATGACCAATACTGGGGGTGAGAGGGTTAAAGCCTAAACAGCCAACTAGTAGTGACTCCTACAGTCTCTGGTGGCAGGTTAACCACTACTTCTTAAGGAATGTATCTTTTCTATGAATTATAAAAGTTAAGCAAACTTTTAAAACCTTATTTGCTTTGTGCCAATCCCACCCATCCCCTTTTTCTTTCTCTTTAGCCACTTAAACTGCAGGCAAAATGTTTGCCTTGTCCTCATTTAGATATTACTGAATCCCTCTCAGTTTATTTTCATTGCACTGTCTGCAACACTAAACTGTGAGACTTGTGACAGTTTTCCAAATCAAACCTTTACTGCTCTGTAAATGTGCAAGGGGTTATATTCTACTGTGAAAGCTTGGATTGCTTGGGTTTGGGGTTTTTTTAAGCTTCATGGTAGGAGCTGTGTCACAGTAACAACATGCAAACACAAGGAAGAATAATTTAACAAAAGAAAATTGTGAGATGGAAATTGCGTGAAGAACAGACACAAGTTTTCTGTAGATGTTTATTTTCTTGTGTCAGCTCTATTAAGAGATGTCCTGAGAACAATCCCATACCTATTTCTTTAAAGGCAGCATTACAATTCTTCTCAATGCCCTGTATAACAGGGCCATGTTTTTCAAAAATACACATTTGATTTCTAACTCGCATTTCAAGGCATATTTTGTTACCCAGATGAGAGCTAGGAGCTTAAATGCCTCTGTGGATCTGCCCCAGCTCGAGGGTCATTTTACAAAGAAAACCTGGCCTAGCAGGTTTTTCTCAAATGCCCTGTATTTTTGCTTTTCTGAACATACACAATTCTTACACAAAATTAACATGCACTGCTGGATCTGTACTGATGGTTGGCTCAGCACAACACATTATCCTCACACAGGTCTTACAGACTTGCTCATTCTGTGCAGATATCAGTGATCAGGAAACCATCTACAACAGCAGGTGAAATGCATCGTCAGACATTTAACTAGTTGTGTACAGACTCATAATTTAATAAAAAATGTGCTTTTGTAAAATACCATAACTTACTACCTGCTCAAGAACAGCAAGATCTTGGCCACTCAAAGGTTATTTCCATGACCTACACTTCTATCACCTTATATAGGAATCTCTTTGCCCTCTTTAAGTAGACTCAAGCTCTGCCAAAAAATTTAAGTCTCAGAGAGGCCTATATGCTGTACAAAAATGGGTCTGATAATCAGGTAACTAGAATTGTTTTCTTGGCATCACAATGTGATGTTTCATGCTTGTAACCGATCCAGGTAGGCTCCCTGCTTCAATTCCAAGTTTAAACACCCACATCCTGCCATTTCCACTACAATTAGTGACACAAATCTCCACCTCCTTTTTGAAACTGATGTTATCCCGATACTGCAAGGAGTTGCGTGCAAGGAGTGATCATAGTGAGAAAGGAGGGGTATATGTAAACATCTGGGAGCAATGAGCTCTGCAGTGAGAATAAGAGTTGCTATACCCTCATTTCCTTCCATTCTTTTTAATATAGCACACTACAAAGAAAATTTCCAGGGGCTCAACTTGCTTTTGTAACATCTGTTCTACAGTACTCAAATAAGTTGCCATCACAAATAAAGATTTTATAAAGGTATGTAAAAAAAATACACAGAAAAATACCATTTTTGCTTTTACTACCACTGGTTTATGACTTTTAAGTGCATTAAGTGTAAATTTTCTGAAAAAAATCTGTTCCCTAAGCAAAAGATTCTGGCAGCCAGATCTTCCTCTATACAGTTTTCTTCCTAAACTTGACTATAACAGAGAAAGATCAGCCTCTCCTCCTTCCTAGTTTTCTTTTAATGCACTCCAAAAGACTACAGCCTTGTTTTCTCAGCATTCCTCTTGCTGGTCATGTGCTTTTCAAGCTGTTACATTCAGAGATGCCAAGGTATTAAAAAATCCAACAATTCAATCAGCAATACACGTCTTTATTTACCATTTATAAACATCAAACCAATAGTTTGTGGATAAGAACATAGACAGGAGCAGTTTCTTAAACATTAACTTGCAAATATAGTATTTAGAATTACTGTCTAGTAATCCTGGACCTTTACACTTTTCAGTATCTATAGAGCTTCTCATCTACATCCATATCACCAGTACCTGTTCCCTTGAATTTTCCAAATACTTTCCATACAAAATGTTACCAAGTTTTTGGGTGGACTTAGAAAGCTTTCTCTCCTCCCTGTCACCCCAGAGCCTTATGCCAGTAGAGAAAAGATGCCTGGGATTTCCTAACAGAGCAGCCCAGGGAGAACAGAAACTGCCCCATAGGAATTCCCAGCACTGGCAGGTAGTTCCACAAAGCCCATTGAGAATACAGGGCCACCAAGCACAGGCAGCTCAGTTAGATGGTGCATACACAGCGAGATCAGTGGATCCAGGTTCTGCCAACTTACTGTCAACACTTTAGCCAACAATCACATGTGAGAATGAACACAAAGAATGGTTGCTTCTTAGATATTTACCCTAACTTGCAAGAATAGTAAAATCATTCCAGGATCCAAGATGTCCCCATGTCTGGTATTACTTCCCTCTGGGAGAATGAACAAGACTTGCTAAGCTCTTTTCTGTGGGGAAGAAGTAAAGTCAACATTTGGAACTCTGATTTTGCACGTCAAGTAGAAAGGAGCATTACACTCCTCTGAGTTTTGTCTCAGAAAATACAAAACATGAACACAACAAACTCAAGACCTCCATAAAG